TCAACTAATTATTAACTATTTTGGAAAATGTCTTGTTGTTTATAGTATATTTTATATATTATATTATTATAATTATATAATAATATTATATATTAATATAGTATGTATTATATATGACGTTATTATAATTATATAATAATATTATATATTAATATAATATATATTATATTATATTGTATTATATTATAATATATAGAAAATAATTTTACTGTCATTAAGATTCTCAGCCAATTATCGCCCCGCAAGACACGGAATCTATGAAACCCTGGAACACGTTCCTCAACGTTACCTTGGACGATGGCCGTTTCTTCGTATCCTCGACAAGTCCGAGTTACGTTTCAGGTACAAAGGTGCGAACCCATTTGTCAGGCCGCTTGGTCCGAACTCGTCGTCCTTCTGACAAGTGTCCAGACTCTCGAAGCTGCGGTAGGGCCTGAGCCGCGAGAAATGATCGACATTTCCTAAACCGTTCGGCAGGACCTTCTCGTAGTCCTGCTCGAGGCTGTCCGGGGACGTGTTCTCCGGATGGGAGGCGTTCGAACGGTTCGAGTATTCCAGAGAGTCGAAGCTGTAGCTGGATGGCGACAGGGTGGCGCATGTCCTCTCCAAGGACTCGAACTGCAACAGGGAGCTCGATCTCGAGGACGCGGACGACCTCGAAGACCGCGGCGACGCCGGATAATCCTCGAACGTCACCTGGTGGTCGCGATCGGTGCCGTTGTTCCTGCGTCGACGCTTCTTCGGCACGACGGAGTTGCACTCGCTGCCGCTGCCATCTGCAACATCGTCCACGAAAAGAAAACAGATCTTTAATTTAGATCGACTCGATTCATTTCAGATCGACGGTAATCGTTTTATCGGACCCCGTTTTTATCTTTTTTTTGTAATCTTTTTGTGATCCTTTTTCAGGATCAGTGATTTTTGTTTCATGCAATCCGTATTTTATTATTTCCTTGTGTTATTTTGTTATTTTATTTTTGTAATTTAGATCGATTAAGATTTGTCGCGAAAGGTGTACAGATACAGTTTCTTTATAATAATTATATAATAATATATAATATATATATATAATTATATAATATATATAATTATTTATTATTATTATATGATATATATAATTATTTATTATTATTATATGATATATAATATATAGTTATATAATAATACATAATAATTATATAATTATTTATAATAATCTATTTTTTTTAAACAGCTTCTTCGCAGCGAGCTAACCATTTAAATGGAATAATCATTTGCAACACGATAATTTTATTTAAAATATTACTTACTATTTCAAGGATAAAATAATTAATTTGGCACTCCTATTTATCGCGTCTTTTAGCCTAATTTCAATTTCTGAGAGCAATGTTGCAAAAATATCTTGTTCACGGTCAAGGAGATCATGCATCATGATTTTAAACATTTACTTCACGCGTCAATTCGTCGTTTATTTTTTACTCGAACTTTGTACGATTTCTATTATAATACAAGCTTCAATGAAGAAGTTTGAAAAAACATTTCTCATAGAAAGACTATTAAAATTTCCGTGGAGCTAAAAGAAAAAATCAGAAACCAGTCATTTCGACTAGTGTTTTATCACGTTGAGCGCCGCGGCGGTCACACATGGGTGACGCTAATTTTTCACCAATTTTGAAAACTATATATTTCGAAAAATATAAATTATAAATATAAATTGAAGATTCTAAATTATACATTTAAACAAACTGAAGTTAGCTAGTATATTTCGGATAATATATATTTCGAATTATATATTATATAATATTAATTATAATATAATTATATAATTATATATTATTATTATTATATAACTATATAATTATATATTATTATTATTATATAATTATATAATTATATATTATTATTATTATATAATTATATAATTATATATTATTATTATTATATATTATTTTCGTATACGAAACAGATCTCTAATGTCATCCACTATGACAAATATCAAGCTTCCAGTTCCGGTATAATTAATTAAATTGCTTTGATTTTATAGGAATTCCAGTGATCGCGATCGTCGGCGCTGAATGCGTTAATTCCGACAGAACCATAAAATATCCTTCGTTGGGCAAAAATCGTTCTTCGGACATCAAGGATTCCGTCCGCTGTCGTCCGCGAGACGAAAGCACCGGGGAACGGCCTATAAATTAAGATCGCAAACGAGGCGATTACGATGTCGTGCTCAAGAGGGAACACGGTGAAACGTGTCATTCGGATCGAGTGGCGTTATCGCGGCTCGTGTCGTCGATCACGTGTCGGACGACGGTCACGAAGCCGGGCGGCCGGGCAACCGGTGACCGCATAACGTTGTAAGCGTCGCTTCCGGTTGAATGAACCACGGCTTCCTGACAGCCGGCGACGACGCCGGCGACGATTATGGGGGCCAGGCAGACGCGTAAACCCAGCGGCGGGTGCGCGAACACCCGAGGATTGGCCGGCGGCCCCTTTTGCCGAAGACCCACTTCCGTGACTCGACTTCGTAAACTGGGCCGCGCCGCGACGCGACGCGCCGCGCGGCCCGCAATCTTCGAACCGCTGCGCGGCGCGGCTTTTCACCGAGTTTCTAATGCCGCGAGCAATGATAACGCGGGACAAGCGGCCCCCCCCCCCCGTTCGACGATTATTCGGGGAGTCATCAAATGCGCGATCCGTGACCAGGATCCGGAAGTCCGTGACCAGGCGTCTTCGGCAACGGAGCTCGAAGGTGCGAGAAACATTGGCGCGACGAAATCAGGACAGAGTTCGGAATTATTCGGAGAGAATTTTGGCTGAGGATTATTTCGATTGAATTCTTCGTGGAAGAATTTATTTGAAGAAATATTGTACGAATTTTTTATTCGAAATGTTTGTTCAATAAAAGTTTGATTCGAAGTATTTATTTGATGAGATTTTACTCGGGATGTTGTATGAATACAATAATTCTATTCGAAATATTATATGAACACAATTTTATTCGAAATGTTTATNGGAAGAATATTTTATTTGAAATATTTGTAGAATAATATTTTATTTGAAATATTTATAGAATACAATTTTATTCGAAATATTATATGAATACAATTTTATTCGGAATATTTGTAGCATAATATTTTATTTGAAATATTGTACGAATACAATTTTATTTGAAATATTATTATTAGCATTGTTATTATTAATAGCATTAATATGAAATAATAGCATTATTACGAATGCTATTTTATTCGAAATATTTGTTAGATAAGATTTTATTTGGAATATTGTATGAATA